ACAAAAACCTAAGGTCTACACTATATTTAAGTACACCCCACCCCCTACCACACCCGCACCCCCATGAAGTCAATCTACCCTCTACTTGTACCGCCAGTCTCGGGAGGCTGGCGCCGCCATTGCTTCGCACAATAGTAGTTTATTCAGATGGATACGGAAGGTAACCAAAATAAAAAATTATAATAATAATTTAACAATATCTGTATTAAAAGTAGTGATATGTTACAATATGTTTAAAAATAAACTATTATTTACTTATAGTACATTTACATTAATATAATATATTATAAATTGAGCTCTATCAGATGGTATAGTAAATATTTAAACAACTATACAGATAGCTGAAATTGAGCTCTATCAGCTGGTAAAATAAATATTTAGATGACTATACAGATAGCTGAAATTGAGCTCTATCAGCTGGTAAAATAAATATTTAGACAACTATACAGATAGCTGAAATTGAGCTCTATCACATGGTAAAGTAAATATTTAGACAACTATACAGATAGCTGAAATTGAGCTCTATCAGCTGGTAAAGTAAATATTTAGATGACTATACAGATAGCTGAAATACAGTTCTATCAGCTGGTAAAGTAAATATTTAGACGACTATACAGATAGCTGAAATAGAGTTCTATCAGCTGGTAAAGTAAATATTTAGACAACTATACAGATAGCTGAAATTGAGCTCTATCAGATGGTATAGTANATATTTAGATGACTATACAGATAGCTGAAATAGAGTTCTATCAGCTGGTAAAGTAAATATTTAGACGACTATACAGATAGCTGAAATAGAGTTCTATCAGCTGGTAAAGTAAATATTTAGATGACTATACAGATAGCTGAAATTGAGCTCTATCAGCTGGTAAAGTAAATATTTAGATGACTATACAGATAGCTGAAATTGTGCTCTTTCAGCTGGTAAAGTAAATATTTAGATGGCTATACAGATAGCTGAAATTGTGCTCTTTCAGCTGGTAAAGTAAATATTTAGATGACTATACAGATAGCTGAAATTGTGCTCTTTCAGCTGGTAAAGTAAATATTTAGATGACTATACAGATAGCTGAAATTGTGCTCTTTCAGCTGGTAAAGTAAATATTTAGATGGCTATACAGATAGCTGAAATTGTGCTCTTTCAGCTGGTAAAGTAAATATTTAGATGACTATACAGATAGCTGAAATTGTGCTCTTTCAGCTGGTAAAGTAAATATTTAGATGACTATACAGATAGCTGAAATTGTGCTCTTTCAGCTGGTAAAGTAAATATTTAGATGGCTAAATCAATTTAACATTAACAACCAAATAGAAATAATAAAACTACAGTTAATAACAAGACTGTTATGAATTAAAATAGATC